TTGTACTGCAGTAACAGTGTGAATGATTTTACAGATTTTATTCCACTTCAGTGATTCATTACAAATCCAGTGAGCTCTGACATGCACTGAAGTCAGCAGCTTATGGGTCAGAGAACAGGGTAGCCCCAGGGCTGGTCACTGAAATGGCAAGTTTGCATGTGGTTGCATTAAATAAATAAAGTTGTTGCTCATAAACAGCTGATAAATACAGAAACCTTGGAAAATGTGTTTTATTACTTGGCTGCAGTTACAATATTTTCTTTGTTATTTTAAAAATGAATCTTTATATTGCATAAACTTGTATAGGTAAAATATATTTTAAAATACTTCAACCTGTAGGCAGTTAGCTGGTGTGTCCCATAGATCTAAACATCCAAACTGTTGCCAGAATAAAATTGTTTTCCCACAGTGGCCTCTCCTTGCAGGTGGCTCCTACTCAGTGCAGATGCTTTCTCCTTCAGCAAGTCCATCCAGTTGTGCAGTCAGGGCAGGCTTAAGCCCTGGCAGGTTTTTAAAGATAATGAATTCAGCTGCATGTAGAGGACCAGCAGAGCTGCAGCCCTCACCAGTAGCTCAGCACAGAGGTGTGGAGAGGAGACTTCTGCCTTAATTCAAGGCCAGGTTGGACAGGGCTTTGAGCAATCTGGCCTAGTGGAAGGTGTCCCTGCCCATGGCAGGGGTTTGGAACTAGATGAATTTTAAGGTCCCTTCCAACCCAAACCGTTCTGTGATTCTAAGAGACGAAAATATTCCTGATTTTTTTTCCTTCATCTACTTGCTACATTTGAGAGATAGTAATAGTGCACTTTGCTTCTATTAGATTTAGAATTGGAATTACCAATGAAAAACTTTGTCCAGTATCTGCTTTTACATATAGTTTTCATTTATCTGTAGGAAGTCTGAAATAACCTATAAAAACTTGGCGAAGGGTTATTTTCCCTGGATCCAAGGATCTCTGATTTGCTCTGCCATGTGGTCTTTTCAGACAGGGAGTGAGTAGCATTAAACAAAAGTAGAGAAGGAAAGGGATTGCAATCAGTCCTTCTTCATTTAGCATACAGCTCCTACGTGTATTTAATTGGACAAAGGTGGTCCGTTTCATGAAAAAGGCATGATCCCTTACATACCAAATATTCGACAAGATCTTTAAACAGAGGAATAACGAATACCTTTTCACATTCTATAATACTGCATGTGCAGGGACAGGCACGTGTCTACAATCGATGTTTTGGCATACTGGTGGATTTAAAAAATGCTATGGATATTTTTCCACATGTGTGGTAGACAGATCATTTATAAAGTTAATATCAAGTTAATCTTGATGAAGGTTTTTTCAATTTTTTTTGCCTTGAGACTTCACATGGAGGGATTGAAAGCTCACATAGAGTATGTCATCCATGGGACATACTCTATAAATAACATTGGCTCTAAAAATAGTTGTGAAGCATCGAAGTAGCAACATTACTTTTTGTTTGTTTGTTTGTTTGAAGCACCTACAGCATGTCACTACAGATGGATTGATAGTCTTGATAATATTGAACTTTGTCAGACGTAACATGACAGACTTGTTACATGTCAGAAAGTTTGTCGTTTTTCTTGCTATTCAAAAGGCAAATATATTTGCAACCTTGAGTGACACTGAATATGGAAAGCAGACAGAAATTTGTAATTTTTCAGAATTGGTTTTGTTGTGGGGTTAGTTGGGTGTTCTGGTTTTTTTTCTTTTTCTTTTCCCCGTGGCAAATCTGGGCTCAGATTTTAAAATTCTGACTACTCTGTTTTAGGAATATAGAACAGCTGATTGTGGCTTGTAAGAGCTGTATGAACTGTCTTTTTACAAATGTAAAACACATTCGTTATTACTTCACATTCAGCTTGTTTATTTTAATGCTTCTTGGACAGAAGCAACATCTGACCTTTTTTACTGAGTTGCACTAAACCACTTGGTACAGTACAGCTAATGGTGAAGGTCTTGTACAGGAGACAGTACAGTGAGGGACATGGATGCATAGAGAGCAAATTTTCATAACATTAAGGTTAAAACTAGTGTGTTTTCTACCTACTGAGTGTATTTTTTCAAGTGTGAGTGCTTTGTAATAGGAATAAAGCTGTATCAAAAAGCTTATTTTGGTGTCTTAATATAAACTATAATTTCTGTGTTATGATGATTAACTGTAAATGAGGTATTTCTTTTAGAGACATGTGGATGAAAAGTCAGGTTTTCTGCATATGATAGAAAAAGCAGTGGATTTCTGGTGTAAGAAGCAACAAACAAATGGATGGAAACATTTCATCAGAGGATGAAAACAGGTATTAAGGCAGAGACAAGGAAATCTGGGACAGAGCATTAAGAAGACAGTTGAAAGAAGAAGATGAGGTTATCAGTCATATAGCACTAATACTTTTGTGAGTGGCAAAACTTATAGGAGGACGACAGCATTTTATGCTGAACAAGAAAGAAAAAGACTTCTGATTGCTAATAGAAACAGACTGCAATCAAAAGGAAAAACATTCAGTACATTAGTATGCAATAGCACTATACACTGCTGAATGTATTACATCCTAGCGAAATCAAGAGGATAATGATTAGCTCCTCAGCTAGAAAGGTTTTCTTCCAGTACTTTGGTTCAAAATACAGACACTGGTTTTAATAAATTGGGCTGTATATTGTAAACCACATCGCTTAGTCAATATTTTATTCTAGGAGGTCACGTAGCATTGTAGGTGCCAAGCACAGTGTAAAAGAATAAAATAGTTCTTCTCATTATTTTGTTTAAAAAATAAAAAGAGCAAGAGATTTTATTAGTTCACAATACTGTTAGTATAAATAGAAGTTGAAGCTGTGGAGCAGGGTTATTATGTGGCTCATTACTGTTTATTACCACAAGGCACATCAAGATGTCTCCTACTTAGGGGGAGTAAATCACTTGGAACATGCCTCTTTTGTCGATCTTCTGCACAATGCTCAGCGCTATCATGCTTTCTTCCAGTGCTTTGAGGAATATGTCTAAAATCTGTTGCTTGTCATATGTTCTCTTCATCTCTTGCTGAAGAGAAGTGAACAGATGAATGTCTTATTTTGATATGATTTGTTTTTACATCTTGGAGAGGGGAGGGGAAGTGTTTTTCTTCTGAAAAGTTTCTGTCTAAATTGTGTTCCCAGGAAATTGAGAAGAGCTTTGCTGACTCCACACAAGTTAAGATTTTGTTAGTTGTGTAGCTCAGAGATAACTGAATTTTTTTATTTTTTTATTTTTTTTTTTTAATATAGCTTGCCAATGTTTTTCATTATCACTGAGGACAAAGGAAATTTTGTTGGGTCAGTCATTACACTGAGTTTAGAACTGTAAAGAAATTAGATGGTTTTAGTAAGTTTGTGCCTCTTTAGCTGCACTTTAGTAAATGTTTGCATTTCATGATAGAGTTCTCTCTTAGCTTTTTTAATAGTCTGAAAACTCCTCAAAAATGTCTTAACCTGTGCTTTTTAGCCAGGATCAGAAATGAGTTAGTAAAGTTAAGCTCAAGGTCTCTGAAGAACTGACAGACCTTGGTAAATCTTAGTCTTTAACAGCTAAGGATTGCAGTTGAAAGGCCCTCACTTCTCTTGCATGAATGTGAAAGGATTTTGGTTGTTTTGTGTTTCGTTTGTTTGGGTTTTTGTTTTCTATTTTTAATTTGTCTTTACAGCGCTTTGTACTTCTTTTGAGCAGAGTCTGATCAGAAGTTTTTTAAAAAGCTGCATTTCCCCATTAAAGATGTGAAATGCCACTAGTATAAAGTAACAGCCTGCAATTTTTACAGTCATGATGATGCTTATCTTCTGTTGCTTAATCATTCTCCTCCTCTTTGCTTTTCTTACTCTCTAGCCTGAACGTAATGATTTCTGCCAGTGCCAAAGGCCTTGCAGATCTGAGATCTGTCACCTGCGTCCTTGTGCCAGGATTTGCTAATGTGGCTTGTCCCCTTAGCCCTGGCTTTCCCCTTACCAACATGCTGAGGAGGTCTGCTCTGCCACCAAGTCAGTTCAAGACATATGCCAAAACACTGAAAAAAGGACACCCCAAGCCCATTATTCTTACGAAGTTTCTTTGCCGTCCCTGCACTGATGAATTACATGTCTGTGTGATATTAGCACTTCAGAGGTAGCAAAGTAAGCGAGAAAGCAATGGTACAAGTATACGTTCCAGAATACATGAAATCAGTGCGGCAAATGCCTGCTGGTTTTGTTACATTTACTACCCTGTTTGGCAAATTTTCTAGTTTGGAAATATTTCCATACCATCTGTTGTCTCTGATCCTGTTCAACAGAGCAGTATTACTGGCCTGGTGATTTCTAACACGTTTCCTCAGAAATTCTTATGTAGGGTACAAGTATATAGGTTAAAAAGCAAATGTTTTTACTATTGATTTTTCTTCAACCACTGCCTGTTTACTTATTTATTTATGTGGTTCTTTAACATTCTTCATTTATAATTTGTAAAGTTCTATTTTTGCATGCTAACAAGCACTAATTTGATCAGGTGAAAAAGTAATGTGTGTAGATTCTATGATTCTAGATACTATGATTCTATGATACCATGATGTGATTCTATGATTCCAGATACTAGTGCACACATCTCTGAAGGAAAGAGGACCTTAATTGATTCGAAATACTACCGCCTTTCAGAGGTTTCTCATCTACTATAGCTGCTAGAAGCAATCTAATACACAAGGGAGCCTGGTGTCAATAAGAGTATAAAGATTGTTCTGATCTTGTTGCACAGAGATAGGGGGTTGGTGAGTTGGGTACAGCCTGCAGCTGGAGCCAGGTGTACTCTATGGCTTACCGTGCATAGAAGTGGGGGAATAAAATCCCTCCACTGCACCTCTTGGTTGAGCTGGGGGTCACAGTGCCATACGTGTCAGTCACTGCTTTTAGGGCCCTTAGCTGTACATCTCAGTAATGTTCTTGTTTTGTCACATCAGCATCAGACACGATTGTCCTCAAATAACAAGGTAACATGGTCAATGCTGACTCTTTAGTGACTGCTGTTCACTTTCTTCTGACAGATGTAAATGAGTGCACTATGGAGAATGGTGGCTGTCATGACCAGTGCTGTAATACTGTTGGCAGCTACCACTGCAAATGTCCAGCCGGCCAGAAACTGGAGGAAGATGGAAAATCATGTGGAGGTAATGTTTTGTACTGTGTCTCACTGCTATTAAGAGATCAGAGAAGACATTGGAAAGGAAAAGGAAATGTTAGTTTTTATCTGGAGCCAGCTGAAGAGAGTATACTCAGACTTCTCAAGAGTGCAGATCTTCTTCTGTCTGGATTATGAAGATACAACTGTAAGAACACTTCAAAGGGTTGGGATTTTGTTTTCTTCTTTTTTGAAAAAATGCTATTACTTAACCTGGATTGGCTGTGCTATGTTGTGATTATGGAATTTCCATCATCAATTTAAAAACTTGAACGTGTATATGTTTGATAACATTTTGTCTGTCTCTAAAACAAAATGGTTCTTATCCAAAAATATGCATACATTTTTGCATTTCAATCACAGTTCCACAGCTAGAGATTAACTGAATAGAAAAGGGTTTAAAACCACATGCTATGTAACCTATTTGTCTTCTTCCTAAAGGAAATGTAAGTCTAGTTAGTGTATTACGGTGTAAAATTTGTTCTTTCTAAAAGCTTGATTTTGTGGAGAAGAAAAACATGACATAAGCTTATGTTGGAACACATGATGAATTTTGCTTAGACTTCTTAAAGATATGCTGGTAAACATATGCATGTAAATAAGCACATCTGATCTGCTGACCTAAAGTCAGTACAAATTTGCATCATCAGATGCTGCAAAAGGTAGAGGAGATGAGGTGTAAGGTAGCCAAGGTGTACTGTATGGAGGCCAGAGCAGTTCCTTCTTCTTGAACTCTGCTCTAACATAGGTAACAAATGTTCACTGCCGTATGATCTTGTGTACATTTGCTGTGTGCCTGGATTGCACCCTTGATTGCATTTCATTGCTGCAGTAAGTAGATCATTGATGTTTTTTATTATGTCAAGATGAAAGGCACTAGATAGATAGGTTTTCATGAACTGTATTTTCATCTTTTCACAAGAAACTGTCTTTTCTGGTTTTTTTTTCTGTTGCATAGTATCTCACATCTTCCTTAAGGTTTGTACAAAGCAATGTATTTCTTGGCTGTGGTCGTATGCTTTATCCTAAATTTGTAATTTATTTGGCTGCAGTCATTTTTTCACTAGAAGATGATAGAATTATTTTCCACAGCAACCTATCATTTGATATCCAACTTGACAGTGTAAATAAGCTGTAGATGGTTATTTTAATTTGATAGAAGCTTTTCCTTATGGTCCTCCATGCTTTCATTTTGGCCTTTTGAGAACTCAAGCCAGAAATACTATGCACGATTCACAGATTCCTGCTACTTTACCTCAGCCTTCTCTTATGTTTTTTTGAGACTAGCTGGTAATATCGCCATGAACTGACATGTAGGTTTGTATGTTGATGACTTCTTACTGCTATCAGATCTGTGTAAAAGTTGTCCAAAACCTGAGTTTTTGAAAGAAGGGATCTTACTCATTGTACTCCTAAATTGCTCAGCGTGCAAGAGTCCTGTTTCCTTTAAAATAATTTTGTGTAAGTTAAATTAGTGTTCATTCTGCACAATTTTTTATTTGAAAATCTACTTTAAATTTTAGTATTTTGACATTCTTTAAAAACTCAAACAGAGCTTAAGGTATTTGATTCCAACCAGGATTTACAGAAGAATATATTATAAGCTTGTTTTAAGCCACTTCTTAAAATCTTCAGACAAAAATGGAAACTTACTATAAATTGGAAACTCTCAAGTCATGGAACAAAGTGAACATAGCAGTGGCACTAATCCCACCTGAACTTTTGTGAAGATGATAATGACGATAAGTGTATGGCTATACTGACTTGCAAGAAGGCCAACCTGAGCCAACCTCTAGCATCAAATGTTACAATATGAGTAACTTGGTGGTTTATTGCTGCATATGGGAAAAGTGATCTTTCAAACAAAACTCTGTGTGCTGCTGGAAGGTGCTGGTCTTTCAGGATGTAATACTGAATCGGTGTTTTATTGATGCTTCTGCATTGGTCAAAGGGGTCATTTTGCAGATGAGAGTAAACCAGCTTCTCATTCAGCATCTTTAGAGGAATAAGGCTCACAGTTGTTCTGGATAGTTATATTCTTTCTTTCTTTATAGCATCATTGTGCTTTATGTCACCACTTAGTCAAAACTCAAACCTTAAATATAGATTCGTACTATTGTTCGGCTCCTATTATCCATCTTATGGTTGGTTTTATTTCACTGGTGACTGAAATGATCAATGGATGTACAAGTTTTTTATAAACCAAGGTACAAATAAGGTATATCGTTAAAAAAGCACCATAGGAATAGTACAGATTTTATTGAAAAAATCATTATTGATGCAAAGATTGATCTTGTTTTTCGGGGGGAAAAAAAAAGAGCATCCTTCTGACAAAAAGGGACGATATCAGGAAATAACGGTATAAAAAAGAAGAAAAGCTTTTAGCCATTTGTAGCTGTTTAATGCTAAAGAAGGGAAAGCGGATAAAAATTCACTACTCCCAACAACATAATGAAGTGTACTGCTGATTTAATCAATAATAGCTGAGGGGTTTATGAGCAATTCTGGGAGACCCAAAGGCCTAATTTCACAGCTGGAGTGAGCTGAAGATGCTCAGCATCTCTGTCTTCTAGGGTGTCAAAATAATCTTAAAACAAGTTATTGCTGTCAACATTGACTAAACCTTCCCTTTCTTAGGTGGTTCTGCAGCTGGTTAGAACCACATGGGGAAGGGGATAGCACAGCACAGCCTGGGACACCCCTCTCTTGCGGGGTCCACGCTCCTTCCAAGGCTTGTAAGAATCTTTTGTAACCCACTGTGGGCTCTTCTGGCAGGATGTATCATTCAGATGATGTGATATATGAAGCCTTACCTCATTTCAATGAGGGATACTTACATCAAGAGACAAGTTGTAGTAAGGGGAAGGCATGTGCACCTATATAGCAATGCCAGCCAGAGCTATATAGCAATGCCAGCTAGAGCAGTGAACAGATTAGCCTTTCAAAACTAATTATCTACATGTTGTACTGCAGATTTTACTCTTTAGTGTTCATGGGCAGAACTTCAGTTTTCTTATCTGACAGAGAAATATTCTCTGGCAGATAGCTGCAAAGGCATTACAGATTTTGACAGAAAGCTCATGCTTACCTCTCCCTTTTCATGTGTCTGATGGAAATTAATGATGAAAAATGGTGTGGATTTAAATCACTGCACAAATAATACAACAAATGAATATATGACATTTATGCATGTATGACTATCAGCCTGATTCTGTGTCCTGTGTGCCTGTACCAGTATTCAGTGTTTTGTGGACAGTCTGGAGAATGTCTGTGGGTGGATTTGCTCAGAAAGGTGTAACCTGGTCTGAGGAAAGGAGAGGAAATGTGTGTGTGTGTGAGCAATACCTCCTTATTTGATAAGCAAAAGTACCACAGACTACTTATGTCAGTGAGATACGCTGTGAGATGTATAGCTATTCACATTTAATATTTGATAGTAACATAAAACAATTCTACTCGAACATCACAGAAAGCAGAAATGGTATTTTCTGAACATAAATAATGTTTTAAAACTCAGTTATTGGCATAAGTCAAGATCTGTAAGGAATGCTGAGCTGTAACTACAAAAGCATGCTTTCACACATGAATAAGCTCCAGAAGTCAAATAAAAAAGGGTTGTGACCTTATGTTAACCTTCTTTGGTAAACTGTCATTTCTTATTTATATGATTATGCTCTCATCTGTCAGGATAACTGAAAGAAGTTAGAGGCAAATAAAGTCCTGTGATTAGCTGTTGATGAAAAGAAGCTTGTATTTTACTGATTAGAGTAATACTGCAGTGGCTGTAACCCTATCCCCATGGGCTTTGGTCAAACCTTGGAACCCAGGCAAGTTTCTTGACTTTTGACATAGGGATTTTTCAGAGCAGCTGCCTCTAGAGCCAGTGTGTGACTTTGCAAGGCCATTACTGTTTAGCCCAGTAATTTCGGAGTCTCCAGTGTCACCGATTTAGCCTGATGCCAGGTCGGATAGGAACTCTCCAAACACTGATGACACCGAAGAGTTAATAGCTGGGCTAAAAGGAATACTGAGGGATTTGTCTAAGAGCAGGAAAGTGCTTATTAAAATTACTTCAGCATTTATTTAGTCTGTAAGGTTTGAGGTGTAACTTACTCTTGTCAGACTCTTTTTGTCGATGCTAATTCTGCATTTGGACCGTTTTCCTTGCCCAGCAAATCAATGCACTCGGCTTCTGTCATTTCCTACGGGAAAAAAAAAAGCCTGAAGGACATAATACCATGAACCTCTAGAGCAAAGACAAGGAGGTCTTTAATTTTTTTTTATTTATTTATTTATTTAATTTTTAATAGAGCAGAAGAAATTAGTCCACTGGAGGGATTCAGGATGCCTTTTCATTATCTTATGTCAGAAAGTTGCATTTGACTTGTAACACTATGGCACACCACAACACAAAGTTAGTTATTTTCAGGAACACTTCCAATAAAGGAGAATAAGGCAAATAAATTATGTTTTACAAAAAGAAAATTATACCAGTTCTGATTACAGATGCAACAAGTACCCCTCTGTGTGAACTCAAATCTCAGAGCAATCAAGTGAAAGCACTTGTAGATGAGGTGAAGCCACCCATCCTTCATCTTTCTCTCTTTCAAGACCTTGTCTTGAGATACGGAAATAGTCAGTTGCAGGGACAGTATAACAATTATCTAATTATTTGTAACTGAATTACTGTGTCAACTTAGTGTCCACATTAGAGAATTAGGCGAGTGGACAATTCCATCTTGTGACCTTAATAGACCCTGAGTGAACAATCTTGATTACTAGGATATTTTAGTATGACGGATTTTTTACAGCAATTCAGAAAAGAGGAGAAAAAAGAATAGGCAAAAGAAAAAAAAAATGTGAAAGGAGGACAAAACCTGATTTCTGGTATTTCCAACCCTGTCATTAGGCACTCTCATAGGTTCTTACAGCAAAGTCAGAAAATTCCCGAAGTATTTAAGTTTCAAAACATAAAAAAGCTGTGAAACA